AGAGGGGGGGGGGAGGGGAGGGGGGGGGAGTCCTGATACCCAGTTATGCATCTGCATCCTGGGTGATGTAAATGATACTGTGACCACCCTTTCGCGGTGCTTGGAGGCTGTGGGGGTCTGGATGGGGTTCAACAGGCTTCAGCTGAACTCTGGTAAGATGGAGTGGCTATGGTTTGGAGGCCCCTCTGTATCTCAGGATTTACCATCTTTGGTTTTGGATAGGGTTGCACTGCCCTGGACAGACCCGGTGTGTAATCTGGGAGTCCTCCTGGACTCACAACTCCTGCTCAAGAAACAGGTGGCAGTGATGGCCTGGAGGGCCTTTGCCCAACTTTGCATGGTATGTTAGTCATTCTCTGGTTAGTCACCCATGCCCTGGTCATCTCTCAGACTATTGCAATGTGTTCTACATGAGGCTACCCTTGAAGAGTATCTGGAAGCTACAATTGGTTCAAAATGCAGCCGCGTGGACCACCTTAGGTGCCCCAAGAATGGCACATATAACACCTTTACTGCAGTAGCTGCATTGGGTCCCAGTTTGCTTCCAGGTCCAATTCAAAGTGTTGATTATTAACTTTAAAGCCCTACACAGCATGGATCAAGGTTAACTGAGGGACTGTCTCACCCCCATTACATCAACCCGTCCCACCTGGTCAGGCAGAGAGGACATACTGCAGACCCTGTCTGCAAGAGAATGTTGGCTAGTAGGGCCTAGGAGGAGAGCCTTCTCTGCCCTTGCCCGCACCCTCTGAAATATCCTCCCTCCAGAGGTGTGCCAGGCCCCTATCTTCCCAGCTTTCTGGAAAGGATTAAAGACCTGGCTCTGCCAGCTTGCATAGGGTGACAAAAATCTTACCCAATCCTGGGGGTGGCTGGTGCCTTGATGACACTCCCCGAGTTATTGCCAATTTTAACATCTATCCTTGGATTATATTTATTTTCTATTTATTTAAATTATTTTATATTGTAATTTTAATTGATTTTAACTACCTCCAGAGTAGTTTTTTGATGAGATGGATGGTGACAAATTTGATAAATTAAAAAAAAAAAGGAAGTCCTGATCAAATAAGTCATTATGCACTTAAAGAAATACACCCAAATTTAGAGGATAAAAAAAATTTTTTAAACAGAATTATTAACAATAATCAACTTGTAGTGATGAACTTTAATACATTTTCTAAAAATACTCCCCAAATAGTTTTCTTCCCATAAAAAACCAGAATGCTTCCCTGAAAGAGACGAGTTATACAATTACAGAGAGTGGAATTTAAAGAACAGCATTATTTGGGATCTGCACTTTCAAACTGGTTTGCTTCAGTATCCTAAACCTGTTCAGTAATTCCTTTTAAAACAGTTCCAATATTTCAATTATTATAACCTAGCCAGTATTTTCCTAATTCTCTTAAAATAAAAACACCTGCCCCACCCTGACAGCCGATCTTGAAATCAAATTATTTGTGTCTTAACATATTCTGTATTCAAGACTGTATGACATGCTTGTAGTATTAAGTTAAAGGATTCCTGAATCGAGAGGGAGTCTGTTACACAAGGCATAACTGTGTAAATGCAGTTAAAAGATACAATACATTGTGTGTGGCTTCGTTCTCATCATCTGGATTTAATTTCTAATTGCTAATATAATAAGGATGTATAGACTTTCCTAGAAATATTTTGCCAACTCCTTTTTCACTCTATCAGCTTCCTAAAATCAGAGTATGAGTTGGAAGTTACAAAATAGATTACCTAGTCCAATCAATCCTCATTACAGGAATTCATTAAACCATTCCCTACAAGTGGCTATTCAAACCTTCATTCTAGGCAGATCGTTCCAAGCTTAATAGCTCTTCTCATGAGCAAACTCCTCCTAATATTTAGCTTGCACCTCATTTTATGTCATCCAATTGGTCTTGTCCCGCTTAAAGTTTCAACAGAGAAAGGTCTGCTCCCTCCTATATGACAGCCTTTTAAATATATGGAGACGGTTGTCATCCCAAGTTTTATTTGCCGACTAAGCATGTCCAGTTCCCTTAACTGTTTTTCATAGGGCTTGGTTTCTAGACCTTTTATCATCCTGTAACACTAGTCTAACTTTTCCATGTTCCTTTTAAAGTATTATGCCCAGAAGTGGACATATTTTCAAGAGCAGCCTGATAAATGCAAAGGAACTAATATCTCCCATGATCCTGAAACAATGATTCTGTTACTGCATTGGCCTTTTTAGCTGTTATATCTGGACCATCCCACCTGATACTTGCCTACAGGCTTTACCTGTATCTGTACATTTTTCCAGAAGGAAAAACCATATATACCATACCTTGTATATTGCATTCCTCTACTGGAATCTATACACCTAATTTTGCCTTCCCAGATGCAGAACTTCCCAGATGCAAAATAGTATTATCCTATTGAATTTGGCCCAATATTCAAATCTACCAAGCTAATTCTGAATCATGATTTTGTCCTCCAAGGTATAGTCCCACTAAGCTTGATGTTATCTTCAAATATGATAAAAATCCCTTCCACTCTATCCTGTAGGTAATTTATAAATTTTGAATAGCAAAGGGCCCTAGGGGATCCCATTTAATACTCATCTCCAGGTGTTGCAGTACCATTTACAAGTACCTTTTATAATTTATTTGAGTTATAACACACCTTTCCTCCTAGAGCTCCTTTCTTTTATGCCTCTCAGCTTGACAGTGAGGTAGGCCTCTTAACACTTTTGCTAATCTTCCTTGTCATGGGAATTATTTGTACCTAAGCCTTCCGGATCCCCTATTTTTCTTTGGTTTATTTATCCTTTAGATTTTCAAGACATACTATACTACTTTTTTTAAATTGAATTCATCAGAATTGGCTTTCCTGAAATCCAAGAAATGTGACTGATTTTCCTCAGCTTTTCCTTCCCCTACTTACCTTGACTGCCAACATGTTGTAGTTGCCTCCCTCAGGGTCACTGATATCTTCAACCCATCAACTAATTTCTTTGTTAGTCAGGTTTAAGTTAAGGGATAACTGACCTCCTTCCTGATATGTTGTTCTCTGTAACATGCTGCAGTATGTTTCAGCTGTTGGAGACATATTGATATGCAACTATGTTTTGCTTAATATTAATCTATGTATCTGGGAAGAAAATCAGAACTACTTTTAAGGCAGCCTGAAATATATTTTATGGATGAAGCAAATTACCATTCCTGAACCATTTGGAAAAATCTACGAAGTAAAATTCATGGATGAAACTAGATTATGGAATATAGTACTTGGACATGACAAAAATTCTATGAGTTGGATTTCATACTCTGTAGTAAACTGTCAAAAGTGTGGTTAAGAGCACTATCCTAACAGTGGGATGGAACAAAAAAGAAAGAACACAGGGTTACATTTTTATAGCCATTTATGATATTACAAATACTGTAATGAAAAATATTAAAAAAAAATTAGGTTGGGGTAGGTTCCAGAAATGTAGGTTCCAGAAAAAATTAGGAAGTCACAGTGTGTTCCAGTTTAGAGTAGACAGCTACCACAGGAAGGTCTATTTGTAGCATTTAATCTAGTATTTATCAAATTTCATTTGACATAATATTTTAGCATTAAGGCAGTACAACAATGCTAACATAGCTCAGGATAATATATATGCAAAACAAATGTCAGAAAAGCAAACTGTTTACCAAACAGTATGATTGTGTAATGCTGGCTGTTTTTAATTCAACTCAAGGTTATTGCTGCAAGTGCATGCGTGTTGCAACTCTGTTTTCCTCAAACAAGAATATAATATATACTAAGATATAGCTGTAACAATCATTCCTGTAAATCAGCCAAAAATATTCCTTGAAAAATGTACAGATCCCACCTAATCTGAGAAGCAGGATTCTGCTTGTCTGTTGGGAATACCTGTCCTACTACAGGTTTATCTTGCATCTACATAGTGCTTGCAACATTTAAATTGGGCTACATGGCCTATGCTCTACTTGCCAAAACAATAATTAAATGGTATCAAAGGCTCGCACTTGATTTCTTTTTGTTGTCCCCATTAGGCTGTAAAATTAGAGACGAGTCTGTTTTTTAAAAAGTTTATTCCAATCACTGACCAGTATTTAAACATTTGGCTTCTTAAACAAATAAAAGAACAGAGCACAAGAGGCCACGGCATAGGAAGAAAAAAATAGAAATATCTAGAAAAAACAGAAAAATGCCTAAACTCTAAAATGTTTCAAAAACATCAATAAGAGTGCATATAGCAGTTTACTATGATGCAGTGAGTGCAAACATAGAAATGAGCTAATAGAAACAGTGATGAATTAATCAATAAGAATGCTATTAAGTGTAGAATACAGGTAGTCTTCAGTTTACAATGGCAATTGGAACTGGAGTTGCTGTTGCTAAGTGATGTGGTCATAAAGCACAATGTCATGTGACTACACTGCTTAGCGACAACCGTCCTGGTTTTCATCGTTAAGTGAGGAACTCACGTGACCCCAATTCTGACTTCCTGCTTGCTCCCCATTGACTTTGTTTGTGGGAAGCCAGCAGGGAATGTCAGAGAGAGTGATTACATGACTGTGGCTCGCTGCAACATCATAATCATGAGCCAGGGTCTGAGAACCCACATCATGGTCACATGACTGCAGGGATGTTGTGATGGGCAAAACTCTGAGGACTGGTTGTAACTACTGCTCGTTCAGTGCTGTTAAGTTTGAACGGTTGCTGAACGAGTGGTGGTTAAACAAGGACCACCTGTATTGAAATTCTACATATCAGTTTTTAAACTTCATATATCACTAAGAATCCATAACCATCTTTGAAAATGATCCTCCCTATGATTCAAAGTATGCCATTCACATAGCCCACTGCTTTTTTCTAAGGAAAAGTAGTTGCTGTTGAGCACAAATTTTGGCAGAATAATCAGGGAAGCCAAAGTCTGTGGCTCTTGCATGCTGCATCAGCTGCCAGAAATGCCCTTCAAATGTCCTCCTACTGCTTACACAGGCAAACAGGGTTAGTCTTTCAGCACAATTAACTAAGGCAACACCTAGTAGACATTTTAAAAATTAGTACAGAAACAAGTGGGAAAGCATTTCCCTAAGTCATATTGGAGCAGATCTTTAAAATCATCATATTCTAGCAAGGAGTTTCAAAGACAAACTTCTGTGGAAATTGCCAAATCAGAATTGATTAGAAAATTTACTCTGGATATGAATGTTGATTCTATAGGTAGGACATGCCCTTCTTTAAAGTTTATTTGGACTATTCATCACCAGCAGCCTCTATATTGTCAGGAACAAGTTTCAGTTATGCTGATTTATCATTTGGATAACTGCCTGGATTCTGTATTTGCTTATGCTCTGCATAATACAATGACACAATCTGTAAGATATACTCTCTAAAACACCCAATTTGTTCACCTCCCTGGACAGAAGATACAAATATCTACCAATACAGAAGATCTCTGCACAGATTTGTTAAAACAGAGTAAAAGCTTATCCTGAGCTTTTCACTTTAGTGTTTTTTATTCTATTTGCTGTTTCAAATTGTATGCCACTCCTAGTCTGCACTGAACAATATATGTTTATAAATAAACAGAAGGAAAATAATATTGATATAGATTTAAATTGCTTTGTTATTATTGCTCTGAATATTCAAATCAAAATGCTTACAATTTTCAGCACAAGGATTTAAACTAAAAAAAGACAGCGGTGCCAGTGAAACTGCAGTGTGTTGTGCTACAGTTTGCAATAGACAACCAAGATGCTACTCCCAAGGTATTACATTTGGCCTTGACCTAGTTTATGTTAAATGAAGGGGGTTCCTGTAGAAAGACTAGGGAAAATCTGTACCAGAACCCTTAAACAACCTGGTTGAAGATTAGATGCCAAAGAAGATAGACAGCTTACTCACACAACGGAAGACCAATGACTGAACTATCTCATCTGCCTTTCCACTGTTGGTCATTTTTAAGGCAAATATGGTTCTCATATTGTTGTTCCTTGCTCTTTTTCAACACAAAGATAAAATTAAAGTTCTATTAATTCATTTGTTTGTAACATGCTTTGCTGCTTCATAATGAGCTCAATGTATTTCAATTAACAAAAAGACTTAACTTAAAAGATTAAGACACATGAACTATTTATATGAAAAGTTATTCATATTCCCATCTCAATTCATTCAGTCAACATAGAAGATTTATTTTATCGCACAGGTTTCATACATAGTGAAGTAGTAAGAGCAGTACAGAGTAATTCTAGATCTAATTTGTTGTAAATACAAAGCCAACAGGATATTTACATATTACCTATTTAAATTAACAGCACTTTATATTAACAAACACCTATATGAATGTTTTAAAACATAACACAAAGGACTTAAGTCACAAAATGCTAGCATTTTTTTAAAGTTCTATAATTTTAATCGTTTATGTAAGAACATACCCAAATGAAAAGGTATTATTTCCCAGTATAACTGATCTTAATAACAAAGTAGGTAAGCCATCTACATGGAAAGAAATGTCAAAGTTGTGTGCATAATAAATCAAATCTACCCTATTCTACTCATTGTAGAACAAGGATGAGCCTATAGACCCCAGGGGCCTGCTGCTAAAAATTGGCAATAAATGTCATCAAAATTCAACAATAATTTGGCACCCTATGTTGGCGGCATATAGGTAGTCCCCTGGTTAAGAACACCTGGTTTAAGGATGACCCATAGTTAAGAATGGAGCCTATTGTAGCAAAAGTCAAGTTAAATGCACAATGGTTCAAGCTAATTTCACAATACTACTTATACAGTATTATATAATAATACTGTTTCTGCTTACATACAAATTTGACTTAAGGACCTTGGGAACAAACTCATTCTTAAACTGGGAACTACCTGTAATTTTCTTGCTCTCAACTCCACCCTTCAAATCTCTCTTACAACTCTCTAAATGACTTGGGGGGACGAACGGTGAGAATGAGAGTGGGAGGCAAATCATGTCCATCCTCTCCCTTCTCCCCTCCCAGATAGTAATTTAGGCAATATTTTGCAGTTGGAAGCAGCTTAAGAGTGCAGATTGGAACTGCTTCCTTCCAGAGACCTCTTGCTCCCGCTCTTAAAACCCTGAAAAAACAGAAATGCTAGCTTTTGCAATATCTATTTAGAGAATGAAGTATCAGCAAGTTCTTATTAGAAATACACACATCTATTGATACTTACTGCATATGCACCTATCAAAAATGCTGCATTTGCTCTTTTCCGCTGGTCAAAGCTGGTATAATACACTATTTTCTTTCTTGATAGACCAAAAGACTGTTTAAGAAACAAATAAAAATATTAGCGGCAGACCACAAAATTATACCAAATGTATCAGCTGAGTGACTCATCAGTTTAACAGAATTCTCCTGGTTGTGTCCTTCAGATCGGGTCATACCCTAATCAAATTTAAACTAGACTATAAAGAAAGTGCTCCCTAATCCCCATCATGGAGGACATAACTGGAAATATTTCTCCTTTGCATGGGATTCTTTGGTCCCTAGATTATTTCTGAGAGGTAGTCTGAATATTACATTAGTTGCAGGGAATCTGCATACCTACCCTCTTGCCTCATGAATTCTAAGACATCTGAAGAAATTTGCAACTGAAGAGCAAAATAATTTTTTAAAGTAATTTAAGTATATACATGTAAGTATATACATCATTTTAAACATATCATTTCTTTAAGTATCTCTTCCTTTATTCAAGATTACTGTGCTTTAGAATTAAATATCTAAATCATGTAAATCAACTGCCTGGCCCCAATTTCAATTTATTCTTTACTGTCTAGAAAAATACCAATGTCAAATCTTAAGTCTCTCATACAAATAAGAGATAAGACAATGAAATAGCGAGGCTGTTTTTAAATTCACCCAGCATTGACCAAAGTATATTATTTACAAATAAAAGTATTTTAAATAATTTTTAAAAACTGAATATTCAGAATAAGTGGGAATAGCCAATAGAAGCGGATATGTGTAGCTGATTAACAGTGGGAAACTGTTAGCATTTTAGACCAAGCTAAATCCAAGAATGTGAGGGAATTCCTAGAAGCTTGGTATTCAGACAAGACAGCCATCAACAGGCACATAGAGATAAACAACATCTACACACTATTCAAAAGAGACAATAAAAAAGAAAAAAAAAAGACTAGAATATTTCCTCACCAGCAATCATCATCCAGACAAACAGAGATTAACACCAAGATTATCACCAGACATACAATCAGCAGTAAACAAAACCCTAATCAAGGAACTACCAGAGGGAAAAAATAAAACAGAACAAAACCCCCACCCCCACCAACACTGGCAGGGCATGCCACTGTATCTAAACAGAAAGCAAACACCATTCCATTCTAGCACTGAAGATGTTACCAAGTCAGGTAACAAAACGTTTGCAAGAAAATAGCCAAGCTCAGAGAACCTCAAGGACTCCAAAGCAGGAATGGGCATTAACTCTGGACACTAGTCACGATAGCGCTAATTTACCCTGAGTATGAGATGCAATTTATGTCTCAATACCAGCAGGTAGGAAGGAAGATGGAATTGTACTTATGTTTTGTCTGTGGGCTTCCCACAAGGAGGGGATATCAGCCCTACAATATAGATCAGGAAATAGACTCCATAGGATAACTAGAATTCTATTTTATTGAGACAGGGTATAGTAACAGAATCTTGCAAGTCTCCCCATATTTTCCCTTCCCTTCCCTTCCTCCCCCTTATGCCTTCTCTAAGGTCATTTCCATAGCTTCCTACAGTTGATCATTATAGGGAACTGAACACTGAACTAAATAGCTTGTTGGTCTAATCCAGCACAATCCTTATGTTCTTCCCTCCCCCAAGCAGCTGGTCAGCTCTCCTGATTTTCTCTTGCTCTTTGTTGATTTGCATGCTTTGTTCTGTCCATTCTTTTGGGAACCAGGCTACTTTTATTCATGAGACATTACAAAGCAGTATAATCAAATCCTTAGTCTAATTTTTAGTAAGCTCCAGCATCTGTTCTAAAACTTAGTTTGCAATGAAGTTTTAAGTATAGCTTTACCATATAAAAAAGAGTGAATGTATTATAATTATTTCAGAGAATGACACATAATTTTTCAATTCAAAGCATTTCTCCTTGCTGTGCTGCAGTATTTTGAAAGGGATTTGTAAGAATTAGTAAAAAAAAAAAACCCTACTTTTATAGGTAAAAATTTAGCTTAACTCATACAGCATAAAAATTTGATCAAAGGTTAGAAGTGCTTAAGTATCCTTCTATTGGGGGATGCGGTGGCGCAGTGGCTTAATGACGCTGGAAGTTGCCGGCCAGAAATGGTCGACACTTCAGCAGTTTGAGCCCAGCTCCATGCGGCACAGTGAGTTCCTATCTCATCCCTAGCTTCTGCCAACCCAGCAGCTCGAAAGGAACTGCGAGTAGATAAATGGGTACTCTCATCCCGGTGGGAGGAAAAATGCTGGCGGCGCCTTGTACGGGAGACAGGACCAGTTGCCGGTAACGTGGAAGTTGCGTACGTCTGAAAAAGACACGAAGAAATGGAAACCCCGCCTTCCTGCACCCACTAGCTGGGCTCCGCTCTAGGAAGGAGGCAATGGCAAACCACTTCCGAAACACCTTGCCTTGAAAACTGCAGGGACTCATCCAGGCAGTCACCACAGAATCGGTCACAATTGGGTGCGGATAAAAAAAAAAAAAAATCCTTCTATTCTGAAAGGTTATCCAATTCATCAGTTTAATTAATATAAAACTATTCGCTCATGTTGTTTCACTAAATGTCTCTATTATAATTTCATTCTGTTTCAGGAAATCAAGCAAGAACTTTAAATCTCTATCTCTGCATGGAGAATCAGGAATGAGAAACTGAGAGCACAGGCAATCTTAACAAAGCCTACTGCAGTCTCACATCACACATAGGCAAGCAATGAAGGTTCTATTATCTCTTTAAATGAAAGAACCCCATTTATTTTTATTCTGGATACTATTATATAATGGCACTGTCACATAAAATGTATTTTTTAAAAGTGACCACAATCTCATGAGTTTTTGTTATTCTCAACAGAAAACCACAAGAACAATAAAATACTGTATATTGAGATTTGGCAATTTTACAAGATTGAGGTTATTCAAAAACATTTTAATCTTTTAAATTTAATTTTAGGGTTCCACAAACATCATCTTGGAGTGTCATGGACTTTCCAACTTGTTACTATGCCACCTTTTGGGGATTATGAGAACTACATTATAATTCTTTTTTCATTCCCAATCCTTTTCCTTATGTTTCAACGTCAGTTTGACTTTCACCCTGAAAGTAAGAGTTATCTAATTGATTTTTGTAAAGTACTGATTTTTTAAAAACCTGGGATTAAAAAAAGAAGAGAATCCCACATTGTAAATGGTAACAGCATCTGCTAATGGGAGTAGGAGTCTGCACCATACACTAACAGGGACAGGAATGAAGCAAATGGGTGAGTTAGGCCTAAAGTAAATATTGGGTGAGACCACAATTTTCTCCTTTTCTGGCACCACTTTTTTCCTCTCTCTCTTCTCATAGCATGGTACTAAAGGTGGCACAGGTCACTTTTTCTACAAGCCTAAGCAACTTACTTGCAAACAGCTTCTGAATCTGGCAGAGGGCTTCTTGAAATTAGTTCAAAGGCCAAATTTGGGAAGGGTTAAGCAGAAACCCTGAAGCATCACTTTCTGAAAATGATCATCCAGTCATAAGCAGAAACACTGTAAAGCTGTCATATTTCATCTTTGTCAAAAGGATCTTTTGATATACCTTAAAAAAAAAAATTACCAACCAGGGCCTTGTAGGTCATGCTATTCCTTCTGAATGGAATCAGCTATGAGAATAAAGACAATTGCTTGGTCAACCCTATCAAAGATTGAGGTTTTTGTTGGCAGATCAGAGCAATACAACTGCATATTAAAAGGCCTCTTCCCAGGCTGTTTGAGAGGTTCTCAACTTCCTCTGAGATTAGGTAACCTAATTCTCAGCAAAGCCTAGTAGCAGTGCTCTAGTAGCAGCAGTTTCCCCCCCCCCAAAATATGTTTTACATTTTATACAATAAAGATATCTTATGCCTTATACTGTACTACAGCCGTGAAAAATTCCTCTTGGTCAAACCATATTAAATATCTCTAATGTAAATCCCATATTAAATTAACAGTATCAGTTGTTAGATCTGAGAGACATTCACAATTGCGGTAATACTTTTTATGAAAAGCTGCTTATGAAATTTTGCTTTCAACACAGAAGCAGTAACTCTATCAATTCAAAAGTCTGTCATACTAACGCATATTGCAGCAGAATCAAAAGACAGGAATTCATGAAATAGGGGCCCCATTTGATATATCTATAAACCCCCTTTAGTTTCTAAGCCATAATAAGCTAATCTATGTATGATTGTCTAACGAGTCTTATGAACATTTCACAAATTATCTTGTGCATCTTCTCATGTAGTAGACTATTTTCCCAGTAAATAAGATGACTTTTATTCAACTTTCTTGAAAAGCTGTTTTGTAACAATGGAGTTCTATAATGCATATAGAACAACCATAATGCATATAGATATTTAAGAGCACCAAGCATGAATTTGCATGACATATCCTTTGATTACTTACTATTTTTCATGATTCAATCACTGCTAATATGAGTAACTGAAACCATAAAAATAAGATTTCTATTTTGCTTTTATTATACATTTAAATTCACATTACACAAGTAACTAGAAGTAGCTTATTCTTTATTAATTGGATCTATAAAAATGCATTCCAACCACCTTGAGTGTTCAGAAATCCTCAGTGATTATAGGCAGTATTACACAAAGTTAAGGCTAAATCATATTACGGATCTGTATTCACTATATAGTGAAAATTATAGAATAATGAAGGTTGGTGTAAGAATTAGAATAGCATTGACTCTTACAACTATTTAGCTTAGTACTTGTAACAAAAGTTTGCAATCCAGCACCTATACACTTTTAAGTTTTATCTTCTGCTAAATTTAAAGTATGAAGTCACCTTTATATAACCAATTAAATGATGGCTTAAAACAGCTAAAGCAAAAAACAAATGAACAAAAAATAATACAGGTAGTCCTTGGGTTACGACCACTGAATGAGGGGGACTTACAACCAGTCCTTGAAGTTGCAGCTGTCGCAACATCCCCAGGCTCATGTATTCACGATTTGGGCGCTTGGCAACTGAATCACAATGATAATGGTTACAACATTCCATGGTCATGTGATCACCATTTGCAACCTTCCCTGCCGGCT